CCCCACCCATGGCCTGGAGGGTCGTGGAGAAAGACAGGCTGGACCCCAATGGGCCAGCTCGGGCCGGGGGCCCGTCTCAGACTTTCATCCCCACCTGCAGAGGAAGCAGGGTCCCTGGCAGGGCAGTGGGTTGACCCGGGGAGGCCGCCCAGCTGTGGGGCAGCTGCTGGTCACGTCTTGGGCACTACCCAGGAGGGCACAGACATGATGGAGGAGGGGCAGTCGCTGGCCGAGGGCACCTGGCGAGTCCCGGATGGCCTGCAGGCAGCACGGAGACCCGGGCGCAGCAGGTGCTCAGTGCCAGACACACAGAAGCTGGGCCGACGCCCCACTCCCAGGGAGAGAACATTCCTGCCCACAGGGCTACCCACCCTCCACTCCTCGCCGCCTCGCTCCTCCGGAATGCTCAGGCACGTTGCCCGGGCAACCAGACGCCAGCGAGCGCATTGCCATCCTTCAGCCGCCTCCCAGCCCCGAGAAGCCTGCAAGCATCTGCGTGCCTTGAGCTCTGCAGACACGGCTCGGAGCTCCCGGGGAGAGGAGATGGGCCCTGAGGGTGAGAGGGATCACAGGGCGCCTGCTGGCCTTGGGGACCGCACCCTCCCCCAGGACGGTCCTCCCCAGGAAGGTCCTCCCCCAGGACGGTCCTCCCCAGGACGGTAGTGCCAGAGAACCCGGAGCAGCGTGGAACCCGGAGGACCTAGGGGTGTCGGGGCCTTTACCGCACCAGGAACCCCAACGTCCCCCCCCCCTGAGATCAGTGTCCTCCCTAATGGAGTGCGTGCTGGATCCAGAGGGGGACAGGATGGGGGGGGAAAGCCCCCTGGAGTTTTGGTTTTTTAAAATATATTTTTATTGATTTCAGAGAGGAAGGGAGAGGGAGAGGGAGAGAAAGGCATCAATGATGAGAGAGAATCATTAATTGGCTGCCTCCTACTGGGGAGTGAGCCCACAACCTGCACATGTGCCCTCGACCGGAACCGAACCCAGGACCCTTCAGTCTGCAGGTCGACGCTCTATCCACTGAGTCACACCGGCCAGGGGTCCCCTGCCTGGAGTTTCACCCCACCCAGAGGTCTGGGCTGACAAAGCCATCACTGCCCCTCAGCACAGCCTGGGGCCCGGGGTCTGTTCTCAGAAAGCCCTGGGTCTCCTGTCTGCAAAGAGCAGAGCCATTGGTTCTAGAAGGAGCTCTGAGCGTGAGCGGGGTCCACGCCGCTTCCCTCCCGGCTCCCCGGCTCCCCCAGATCCCTGCGGAGACCCCCGGGGCCTGGGGCGCTCAGGCCCTCCTGCCAGCAGCACCCAGGAAGCACGGGGTCCCCGGGTTTAAAGGGAAGAGGAAACAGTGCTCCCGGCCCCGCAGATGGTTCCCAGGGCAACTGCCCCCCCCCCCCCCGTCCCCCAGCCCCCCAGCCCCCCAGCCCGGGGGCAGGTGCCACCTGAGGGGGAAGCGCCTTTCTTTTGTGGAGAAGAGAGACAGAAGGGATCAAACTGAATCACAGCCACCGAATCTCATTAAACTCTTCTTGGGGGAAAAGAGTTCAGTAACAATTCCAAGGGGGAGAAGCCAGAAAGCTGCAGCCCGGAGCGAGGGGGCGGAGCAGTGCGCTCCCCCGGGAGGCAGTCAGGTGGGGCGGCAGCGTGGGCTTCCAGAGAGTCTGGGCTGGGACCCTGCGGAGCCGAGGGGGGAGGGGGGGAGGGGGAAGGCACACAGGCCCTTCCTCTCAGGGCGGCTGGGCGCGGGAGCTCGGCAGCTGCAGGGCCCACGCGGGCGGGGGGACGGATCTGAGGCTCGGGGTGTGCTCCTGCGGGTGCCTGCAGCTCCGAGGCCCGGCCCCGGCTCCGGCTCCGGCTCCGGCCTGGGCGCCTTCCCAGAGCCCCGGGCCGGTCTCTCCATGACTCCTGCACAGCCCGCTTCCTGAGCCATCGCTGGCTCGCCCTAAACTTCGCCTTCTAAGCGAGTACTGGTCATGGGTTTAACGTGCTCACAAGGTGGTGCAACCGTCCCCCGGGTAATTCCAGAACAAGGTATCGCCCTGAAGGCCCCCCTGAAGGCACCCCGCCCTGCTCACCCGGCCACCTCATGTCCCAGGTGAGCGAACCCCCCTTTAGGGAGGACGGACCTGGACTCGGAGGAGACACACCAGCTCCCCGCCCTGGCAATGGGTTGGCTTTTCTGCGTAGCAGCCGGTGGCCTGGAAATGAGGGGTTTCCATGGTAACCAATTACAGCTCATGATTGGCGAAAAGCGACAGGAACACCCCCTGTGTGAAGTTATGCGGGGCAGGCAGGCCCAGGCCAGGGGCTGCTGTTCAATTTCCTGGCGATATTTCTCCAAGCACTTAGTCAGCCGATGGGGCCTGGAGGGACCTGGTGAGGCCAGACGGTGCCTGGAGGGACCTGGTGAGGCTGTCTGGTACCCAGTGTTGCTGGTGGTTCTGGGGAGGCCTGCGAGGTCTGTGAGGCCCGGGGGCGCCGACGGTTGCCAGTGGTGCCCGCTGGGCCGAGGCACCCGCTGCTTGAAGCAGCATCTTGTCCCTCTGAGGCCGGACTTGGGTCCGAATGAGCAGCTCCCGGGAGAGCCAGAGACCTCAGCCATTCATCCTCACGGTCACCTGCAGCCACAGGAGCCGCCCGGGTGTGACGGGGAGTTGCACACTGACCTGAATTCCCGTGTGCAGGGTGGGGCACCCCCGCGCCGAGCTGGGCGGGCTGTGGGGGCACTGCACACGCGGAGCTGGGTGGGGAGCCATTAGCATAACGAGCAGCGGCAGATGGAGACACTGGGCCTCAGTTGTCAGGGATCAGCCCCTCTTGGCAGTGGGCGCTCCTGAGTGCTGTTCCTTCCTCGGCCCGTCCTGGACCGCCGGAGCCGCACCTGCCCAGGCATCAGGGAGACGAGGAGGGGCAGCCCCGCGGGGGGCAGTGTGGCGCGAGGAGGGGAAACACACCTGGCCACGCTCACACAGGGATACACGGCAACACACACAGTCACACAAACACTCACCACACACACACACACACACACACACACACTCACTCACTGATACACACATGTACTGACTCACAGGTGCACACACACACACCAACTCACACACAGGTGCACACACACCAACTCACACACAGGTGCACTCACACACAGGTGCACGCACACCCCAACTCACACACAGGTGCACACACACCAACTCACACACGGGTGCACACACACACAGGTGCACACACACACCAACTCACACACAGATGCACACAAACACACACAGGTGCACACACACCAACTCACACATAGGTGCACACACACAGATGCACACCAACTCACACACAGGTGCACACACACACCAACTCACACATAGGTGCACACACACAGATGCACACAAACTCACACACAGGTGCACACACACACACACCAACTCACACACAGGTGCACATACACACCAACTCACACATAGGTGTACACACACAGATGCACACAAACACACACACAGGTGCACATACCTCACACACAGGTGCATACACACACTCACCTCACAAACACACATACATTCACACATTGATGCACTCACAGCAACACTCACACCCACACACGAACTCACCCTCACTCACCGACATGCCTCATGGACACACACACTGTATACATTCACACACGGACACACACACAGGTACACCCTCACCCGCTTTTACACTCAGTCTCATGCTGACAGTCACACACACACATCCACCCGCCTCGCACACTCACACCCCACGCAGTCTGAGACACCCCTGTGCGCACGCTCACACGGTGACGCACACTCACTTCCTGGTTTATTTCCTGTGAAAGCCACGCCGCCCTCAGAGCGGCCAGCTGTTTCCGTGCCGGTTCTGAGCAGCTTTCAGCCGGCTCCTCGCACGGAGCACCCCCCCCCCCCCCCCGCTGCCCCCGCCGCCCCCACCGCCCCGCCCGCAGCCGTCACAGACCGGGATCCTGTCAAGCTCTGATGTGACGAGCGCTCACTTTCAATGGTGCCTGTTACCTAAGCTGGTGGGAGAGGGTGCGTGGGCCGGACCCCACACCTTTCCGCGTGGCTGTCCCCAGCTCTGGGTTCCACGTGACACCCCGTGAGCGCACCTGGGAGCTCACGTCACCCTGGGAGGGGCCCCCACCCGCCAGGCTGTGCCCTGCCTCCCACCTCCAGGGGCTGGGGGACGGATGGGGAGTGGGAAGCGCCGATGCCCACGGGGGGCGCTGGGCAGAGCTGGCGTCCGCACACTGTCCGTGGGGCCCCGGCAGGTGGCGTGTGCCCGAGCGAACCCCAGAGGGGCCCGATCAGAAGGGTTCCCAGCGAGGCGCGGAGGCCACGGCGGCTGTAACACGTGCACATTCCACGGAAACACGAGGAGGGCGGTGGTGGGCGAGCAGGGAGCACGGGGTGGGGCCGGGCTCGGGACACGCCTGGCCTTCAGCCCCCATGACGTCCGCCGGGTCCGCCGCTCTGAGTGGACGCTGGTCCCTCCGGACCTCGGCGGAGGTGGCTGCACGCTGAGGGCCGCCGCCTGGGGGGTGACCTCTGTGACCCAGAGACCGTGTCGCCCGCCCGCCGGCCCTGCCACGCCCTTGCCACGCCCTCGCCTCACGTCCTCGCTCCCTGTCTGTTCTGTTCTGTTCTGTTCTGGGCATTGTTGGCAAAGGGGGTTTTCAAGGAATGCTTGTCGGCGGACAGCCAGGGGCTCGGGGCTCGGTTTCCCCCGGGCAGCGGGCGGTGGCTTCGCCCTGCTCTGTGCCATGCGGCTCCTTGGAGAGAGGTGAGGGTCCTGCAGGCCGGGAAGCAGCCCTTAGGAACACGGGGGAGGGGGGGTGGGGGTGGGAGGGTGACGACTGTTCTTTTAAACCACGATGAATAGATAGGCCTCTGACATGACCAGTGCAGGTTCGGCTTCCCCTGTGAAGTGAGGATGAGCGTCCGTGGTGGGGGGAGGAGAGGCCTCGCAGAGCCGCCGCACTGACCTTCCCTCTCTCTCCCACGCAGTTCCATGTCCCTCCGCTGGCCGGGCTGCGCGCTGGGAAGCCATGCCTGGATCCTGATCGCCATGTTTCAGCTCGCCATGGACCTGCCCGCCTGCGAGGCGCTGGGCCCCGGCCCCGAGTTCCGGCTGCTGCCCCGGCCCTCGCCCCGGCCGCCCCGCCTGTGGAGTTTTAAGAGTGGACAGCCGGCCCGGACCCCCGCGCCCGTGTGGAGCCCCCGCCCTGCCCGCGTGGAGCGCAGTCACGGGCAGATGCCGAGTCCCCGCGCCAAACGGGCGCACAGACCCCGGGACCAGGTGGCCGCCCTGGGGCCCAAAGGGGGGCTCGCCAAGACCCCGGCCGCTGCCAAACCCAGCCCTTCCCTGGGCCCTGCGCCCTCCTCGGCGTCGCCCCCCGTGGGCAGTGGGGCCCTCACGGACCAGCAGGCCCTGCTGAGGAGGGGCCGGAGGCAGCTGCCCGCCGCGTTCAACAGCTTCGATCTGCACCTCCGCGGCAGCAGGCCCACCACGGAGGCCGAGTTCATCGCGTGGGGGCCCACGGGGGAGGAGGAGGCCCTGGCGGCCAACACGATTCCCGACGGCCCCACCACCGTCTCCTACTTCCAGACGCGGAAGACCACCGTGGCCGTGGCCACCACCGCCGCCACGGCCACCACGGCCACCGCCCTGACGCTGCAGACCAGGGGGGTCACCGCGCCCCTGGACCCCAGGAACAGGGTCCCGGCTGGGCTCAGCACCACGGAGCCTTCCACCAGTCCCAGCAGAGACAGCGGCAGAGACACCAAGCCCCCGCGGATTCTGGGGGAGACCTCAGGTATGCCCCCACTTTTCTGGTTGGGGTTCGCACGGGGTGAGGGATTTCCTGGGGGCATGGCTGGCAGGGGGTTGCTGAGCTGGCCCGGGCGATGCTTCTGGGTGGGACTGTGTGTGGCAGAACCTAAAGCGAAGGCACGGGGCCAGGAGCGGTGCAGGGCGCCTGGGAGAGAGCGCTGTGCCGGTGAACGTGCGGCAAGTATAGGCGGAGGGAACGGCCTGGAGTGGGTGCTGGGCCGCTGTGCTGAGGGAGGGGCTGCCAGCTCCCCCTCCCCTGGACCGGAGCCGCACGGTCCAGCATGGTGGCGTGTCCTCTCGGGGGGCCACTCGGGAGCAGGGTGTGGGCACGTCCGGTGCAACGAGGGGCCGGGGGCGCCTTCAGATACCTCCAGGGCGTGGCTCTGCGGGTGGCCGCTGCCCGACGGGCCGGGATGAGGGCTCAGTTTAGACGAAGGGGAGCCCCGGCAGGGAAGGAAGGGCCCCCCCGTGGGCGGGCGCCGCTGGGGCTGCTCCGGTGGGCGCAGTTGGGGGGTCCGGTCCTCGGCCCCTGGTGCTGGGTGCCGGGCTGGGAGTGCCTCCTGCAGCGAGGTTTCCTCCTCCTGCTCCGCCTGCACCACGTCCTCCGATGGATTCCGAGGAGGAGGGCTAGAGGTCTCGCACGCCCAGGCCCGTCCCTCCCCCTGTGGCCACCCGCGTGTCCCCACCGCATGGCTGCAAGGACAGCAGAGTAGGGGACCTCTTTCCCAGCTGCCTCCAGCTTCCCTTGCCCAGGCCCCTCCACGACTCATGTCCATAGGTGGGGCCTATGCATACGATAAGCAGCCGCGCTTGCTGACTTAGGGAAAGGGGGGTGCCGTGTCCATGGCATGAGCTCAGAGCGGGGGGTGGGAGGGCAGCAGCCTCCTCCACACCCGGCTTGCTCTGCACGTCCTAAGGTTTGGGGGCTCCTGGGGCCCTGGCGGGTCCTTTTAGAACCCAGGAGGGGAGGGGTTGCTCCCCGGGGTCCGTCGGCAGACCTGGCTGGGGTCCCCTGCCCTTGACCCCTGCCCTCGTCACTGCGTCCCGGCTGGCAGGCCGGCCGTGACTAGCAGCTGGACGGGCTATGTGGGGTGCGTGGCTTTTGTTCCGTGGCCTGCTTTCGCCCTTCCCCGGACAAGGGAGCTGTGGTTTCCCACTCCACTCTCTTCCCTAGAGAGCGACACACAATGAACGTGGAACCTGCTCCCTCTGGGGCGAGGGCAGGGCCGGGAGCTTGGGTGCCTCAGGGGAACGTGCCTGCAGGGCCGGGCGCAGCTGGCCCCCACCACCGCCCCTGTCCGTCCACCTCTCTGTGCCAGCCAGCCGGGATGCAGACACGAGGACAGGGGTCAAGTGCAGGGCCCAGGGCCTGTGGTCCATCCTCTCTGTGCCAGGCGCCTCCGTTTTCATCTCAATGAGCTCACACGCCGTCATGGTGATGAAGTGAGGGCTGCCGCCTCGGTTCCTGTCACTCCGCAGCCCAGGGCCCTGACTGTGTAGACGCGGATGGAAACCCCAGTCCCCCTTTACCCCCCATTACGTCTGTGGTGACTAAAGGAAGCGCGAATCAGTTCCCAGGACATGGGATGTCGCCGCTCCAACTCGGCAGATGTGATCTTGGAAAAGATGCGTGGTTCCTCCTCGTGGAATCTGGTGCGGAATTAATTTGTTTAGCAAAACAGATTGAAAGGGGGTAAATACGCGTGTGCGATGCAGAGCGACGGTAATTCTGGGAAGGGACGCGGAGGCTGGGCGGGGACAGCCAGCGGCCCTCGCTTCCAGGCCGAGGCGAGGAGAGGCGGGAAGCACGGAGACGGTGCCTCTAACCGGGGGACCGCCCAGGCCAGCTGGTCCTACATGAGTGACACAGTCCCCGGGGACACTGAGACCCCAAGCAGGCGTCCCCGGAACCCCGGTTGTCTCAGCCACCGTCACGTGTAGACCCGGCTCCTCACTCTTTTCCGAGCGTGACTGCGGCTCCCGCATCTCGGGCGGAATTGAAAGTGGCCGGGGGGACTCGGGGTCGGTGCGCGCGGGGGTCAGCGGCCCCGTGTGAATCTGGGCTCTGCTGCGTGTGGCCGTGTGACACGAAGGTGCTCGTCTCTCTTGGCTTCCTGGTCTTCGTCAGCACAGTTCAGTCACCGCCTCTCCTGAGTGGCTGCCGCGAGGATTCGGTGAATGAGCAAATACAAGACGTTGCGCCTGGCACCTGAGGACCTCCGTACACGCCAGCTGTTTTTATACCCAGCGCGAGTGGCTCCAGGAGGAGAGGTGCAGGTGCCAAGGGAAACAGGCTGCCAGGGACGTGGGAGTGTTGTCATCCCAGCACACCCGTCTGTGCTCGCTCACTGCCAGGGGCACCCTGAAGGCTGGAGTGCGGGTTTCAGGAAGCGATAGAACTCGCGAGGGCAGTTCTTCTGTCCAAGGAGGGCTGCGTGGAATCAGAGCTGGGGAGCTACACATTTTATTTTGGCTTCTGTAGAGAAATGTTGAGAAGGAGCATGCTACGTTTTCCTGTCTGTCCGTACCACAGGCGTTGGTGGGCGTAGCAAGGGCAGGGGCTGTGGATTTGGGGCGCTCTGCCATTTCTCAGGAGCTAACATTACATGGGGTACTGATTGGGATCGTCAGAGCCAACCCCCTCTCCCCCCCCGCCCCCCCCCCCCCCCACACACACAATCTCCCCGTAGGTGAAATGCTTGGGAATTTCTCCTAGTTTTGGTGGAGTGGTTACAAGTGTCACTGCCTGCCTTCATATTCCTGACGTCATCCCGTATGAGCTGTGTGAACCTGGGCAGCTTGCTTGTCCTCTCTGTGCCTCCGTGGAGGTTACAGAATTAAGCATCTCATAATGTTGTAAAGATTAAGTGAGATAGTACATGCCAGGTGCTCAGTGTGTGGCACATAATAGCTGCTGGGTACATGTTTGCTGCTGTTACGGTGATGATGATGATGATGATGATGATGATGATGATGGTGGTGGTGCAAGTGATGATGGTGATGGCAATGGTAGTATGATGATGATGGATATTATTATGGTGATGGTGGTGATGATGGTGATGATAGTAATTATGATCATGGTGATGGTGGTGATGGAGATAGAGATGGTGACAGTGATGATGGTGATGTTGGTGATGGAGATGGTGATGATAGTAATTATGATCATGGTGATGGTGATGGTGGTTATGAAGGTGATGGAGATAGAGATGGTGATGGTGGTGATGGTGATGGTGATGGAGATGCTGATGGTGATGAAGGCAATGATAATACTTATGATCGTAATGGTGGTGGTGATGATGATGATGGAGGTGGTGATGATGGTGAGATGGTAATGATAATGGTGATTATGGTGATGATGATGGAGATGGTGATGGTGATGGAGATGATGGTGATGAAGGCAATGATAATAATTATCATCGTGATGATGGTGGTGATTATGATGATGGAGGTGGTCATGATGGTGAGATGGTGATGATGATGGTGATGATGGTGATGGCGATGGTGATGATGATGGAGATGATGATGGTGATGGTGATGAAGGCAATGATAATAATTATGGTTGTGATGATGGTGGTGATGATGATGATGGAGGTGGTGATGACAGTGATGATCATGACATTTATTATCCTTGTGAGGATTTGCGGCTTTGTGTGGAGTCATCCGAGGAGGTCATTTGATGAGGTTCCATGTCCTCACCCCTGACCTTGTGCCTCATGCAGAGGCACCGATGCTCCAGAAGGAGCCGCTGGGATGGAAAATCCCCCCGCGCAGCCCTCCGGGCGCTGAGCCCCAGCCTCCCCGGTGCTGGCGGAGGGTGAATGCCAGGTGGGTTAGTTCACTGGAGGTGGAGAGAGGAGGCCTCCCAGAGCGCAGCGCCCTCCTGCTGTGACTGCTCTCTTGCTGGCCATGTTCTGAGTCTGTAATCACCGAGTCTCCTGGGAGGAAAAGAGAAAGTCATTTCCTGGGCTTTAATCTCACCGCTCGTAAAGGGCGCTGCGGGGAAGGGCCGCCAGCTGACTGCCATTACTGCCGTCGCCCACCGCGGGGTCTCCGGGCCTGGTGCTCGGCGACGGCCCGTGCTCAGGACGCCTGCCGGGCCCTGGCGTCTGAGACTCTGCCTGCCGGTGCCTGGGCCGCAGACTCTCCTGGCTCAGACCCACCTGGCACGTTCCTCAGCTGCCCCTGCTCTCAGCTGGGGGGGAGGGTGCCACCCAGGAGAGACGGTGGAGCTCCGAGGTCTCCATTGTCACGCAGGGATGGCTCCATTCAGGATCAAGCTCATATTGGCGACGCCAGCAGCTCGAGGGGGCCGGGCTCAGCTGTGACCTCAGTCCTGCCTGGTGCTTCTGGCACTGGGACTCACTCGCGAGCTCCCAAGGATGATGTCCGAGTTGCTTTGTCCTTGTCACCAGGGGGCCTTCCGTGTCCTTGGGTTGCGTCCCTCCGTCAGCATGAGGGACAGCTGGTGCCCTCTTCTCTCGCCCCAGTGGTCACCTGACCTAGACAGCGGAACAACCTGGGGAGCAGGTCTTGTGATGATGATGCATGTTTCGAGGGACAGGATTGGGCTGGGAGGGAGAGAGGGGCGGTGGAAACGCTGAGCCCCTTCCAATTAATGTGCTGGTGTTTGCTGCCAGGGCAGTGAATCCGTCCTTGATTTAAAGATACCGCATTTGAAGCAAATGACTCATGAACTTCAGCAGTTTTGCGTGGCTTCGTTGGGACAAGAGCGTCCACGTGCATAAGCGTGTGGAGCTCCGAGACACATCCTGACCCCTGTCCGTGGCCAGGCTGGCCCTGGGGTCTTACCCGGGACTTTCGAATGGAGGCCGCATGGCTCCTGCTGCCGGCTGTGGTTTTGGTGGGGAACTGTGTGGTCACAGGCCAGATCGTTGTGTCTGCCCCCCTTACACCCCGCCCTCTGGCCCCGTCCAGCCTCCCCGGGCGCCCGTTTGCTTCTGCTGAGCAAAGCTGTGCGCAGCA